TTGTGTAGCTGTTGCTATGTGATTTGTATTTGTGACGTAATTGGGTTGGAATATATCTTTAGTCTATTAGGTTTTACATGCTTTAATTTTCATAAAAGCCATTCTCCTACCGAAAATTTGTTGCCACAATCACGTAAATGATAAATCAGATACAATTACATAAATGTTAAAAAAAATGAAAAAAAAAAACGTTATTGTGAAAACATGTGTTTTATGGGTTGTTTAATAAATTTTAATTATTAGGTGTTCTGTTAATCTCTAAGCCAAATTATGTGTGTTTCTTTTTCGACGTTTCGAACACAATTCAGTATGATTTCCGGTTTACTTTGGCGTATATCAGTTAAGTTTATCTTCTAGTCCATCTGTGTTTGCTGTTTAAGGCAACTTGGCCCCAAACGCTCGTCCTTTAGTTTTGTGATCTTTTAGGATTTCCGCTACTCTGAATGATTCATAACACATTTTTATATCCAGTTTATCCATGGATTCGTCTTTTAACATTAAGATTTTTTTTGGCAAAAGGGGATTGTGGGGGGGGGGGGCGAGAATTGAAATAATCTTAAGAGTTCAACTCTGGCTTAACCACTAAGACCCCAAAAAATTGAAAGATTTTTTTTAAAATATTTTTTTAAAATTGTAACTAAGATATCAGTAATGAAACTCACATTTACTCGTCTGTCTTCCCTTTGTTGATCAATACAAACAAACTGAATCTGTTTAATAGTTTATTAAATATTTTCCCCCGTCACCTTTTCTCAAACTTTTTTTTACTTCATAACTGAACCAAATTGTGAATTTTAAGACTTAAAATATATTAATATTTTAAAAAAAAACCCGTAGATACATATTAATGGGCAGCTTTAGCTGACTGTAAGATCCTCATGTATGTTATGATGAAATGATATCTTGTATTACCCTGTAGACGAATGTTTACACAGCAAAACGAACACATTTTTATTTAGAGATGATTTTTTTTTTTTTTTATAAATCAGAACGGTGCATTTGAGAAATGGTGCAGCTTTTAAAACTATGGAACCATGCATGCACAGTAACTTTAGTCAGTAACTTCACAGGAAAAAAAAACAAGTCATGAGAATTAAGTGACACGATACGAAGCGTTGATAGTCTGCCCTTAACGAGATCAACCCAATCAAGTGTTGGGAGGACCCTGCATAGCATGATCCAGTTAACAGAGGCCCCCATAGCAAGTGAACCACCGCATGTCCCACTTCTGAGATGATATAGTTCGTTCGGGTTTTTTTTTTTCAGGCTGGTATCTCGAACGGTAACTGTTAAGATTGTAACTGAATTTCCGGGACCAGATTCTTGTGACTCAACCGAAAGTGGACAGCTGTACACACCGAAACTGCTTTCAACTCAATAACCATTAATTTGGCCTCTACCAGCCATAAACTGCTTTAAAGTCTAGAAGCCGATGTCTCTCGTATTGACTGAATCCCGTGAAAACTTGAACGCCCCCCCCCCCAAAAATGACAAAGGACATTCCGAATGGTTGTCATCGTACCAGGTACGTTTAGGCTTTTGGAATAAATATGGAAAATTGAAGAAAAAAATTCATTGGCAAAATTAATGCAAAATTTTGTGTGTGCCGCACCCGACATTGTGCTTGCAGTACATGACAAGTGAAGCTGTTGTTATTCTATATGTTGATAGATCTACTCGTTACATACAGGGGTAAGTAGTTCATGGCTGCTTGGATCAATAGTAGTTCTTCCAAGTCAACGAAATCACTGTTTGTTATACCATAGAAAAATCCCGTTTGTTCATGAACAAATAAAACAATGCAATGCTTTAAAAAAAAAGAAATAAGAATTGGAATTTTATGCTTGGCGTTGGGTTTTTTGTTTTTCCGTGATTCAATATTGACAGCTAAAATATTTTAGTATGTCACGTTTTTATGTCAACTTTACAAATTGGCATATACGAATTTCTCCCTCCGATCGAGCCGTCGAGCAAATCTAATTTTCTTGTTCTCCAATTGAATGGCTGAACGTAATTGTTACGTTAAAATCAATAGATATCGACATACACAGAATCTATGAGAATTATTTAATCAGTCGAGACGCAGGGAAGTGGCGTTGGAGTTCAAAAAATGACAATATTGAAGCCGGCGAAAAGGAAACAATTATAATGTGGGCAAATGTTAATCTTTGTTTATTGATTGTGGTCCGTTTAACTGAAGACTGTGTAGTTTTTGTTTTTTTTTTGAAGCACAAAGGTGACCGTTGAAACAATATCAAGTAAATTAAAAAAATAAAGGATTGGAAATCTCCATTGTGCATCTTGCAAAGTGCAATCTTTTGACATTGCTATTTAATTGATTTTACAAGCTTCGCAATGTTAAAAAAAAAACAACCAAGAAATATAAAAAAAATTCAAAAATATCTTTTTCCTGATTTTTCGTGTGTCAGTTTATAAATGGTTGACACTGCTGTTAATACACGGAAAAAAAACACTTATTAAATCACACACTAAAATTTAAAAAAAATGAAAATTGTTTTTTTTTTTTTTTGGTAAGTTCACAATTTTTTTTTCAAAGCCACCATAAAGCGATCAAAATAGCCACAGTGAAGCCGACTATAAAAGTATCCATAGCACGAAAACGATTTTAATCTTTTGATCCTTCCCAAAATTGTTGGGGGAAAGGAAAAATAAACAACGACATAGATCTAGAAATGAGAAGTACAATGTGACTTTATACTTCATTCCAACAACATAACAATCCTACTCGTTTAAATGTATCGGCAGATAGGAGATTGGAAGTATGATTATATGTTAAAAACAATGATATACACTCGAATGGATAGGCCTTAGATTTTCGTTTCCAAGCAGCTTATCTTTATGATAACAATATATTTAAAAAATTCACTAGTTAAGTACTATTTTTATTTACTTGCAAATTTCTTCAGCTTCGATATTTCATGACTGCTGATAGCCTACAAAGATGTGTGTGCAGTGCCAATGTAAATGAGGATTACATAGTGGGATTTAGGTGCTAATGATTGAAATCTCTTGATTGCATAGGCGGATTTCGGGAAAATGTTTGAAATCAATGTTTTTTTCATTGTAGGATTTCAGTGCGAATGATTTAAATATGTGCATTACATCGTAGGATTTCAGTGCGAATGATTTAAAAATGTGGATTGCATAGGAGGATTTCGGTGCTAATGATTTAAACATGCGGATTACATAGTAAGATTTCAGTGCGAATGATATAAAGTCCAACTTTAAGCCGTATACTTACGCACAACCATTCCCGTGGACAGGACGTGTTAACAGGCGATTTTCTGCCAGGTCAAAGAATGAACAGTATTGGAGAAGGGGTCTTGAGACTTGTTTTGAACAAGGGGCTGGATCAGTCTACTCAGACATTATAAGGGGTTTGGGGGGGGGGGGCAAGACTATAGCTCGAAAATGAATTATATGCACCATTTCACATATTTAATTTGTAGTCGGGAAAAACAAATGTTTAAAAAAAACCATTTAACATATTTAAAATTAAGAAAAAATTGATCCAACATAAACCTAATTGTACTTCAAAAAAACAAAAAAACAAACATTAGGCTTATGAGATGGTCAGTGTTCGGTTTCATATTTGTCGCTGCCAGTAGACCCGTGCAGTCTGGATTAATGACCCCTGGCTGCCCTGATCTGGCCTGCTGGATGAAGTTTGAGGCCTACTGGTCTAGAGTCTAAACGAAAAAAAGCACACCAATTTAAAAAAAAAACAATTTTCAGGTTTTTCTAATTCAAGATAACATTTGCTAGAACTGCTATTCATATGCATTGTCTTTCACACAAGTACTTGAAATACAATTCAAATGTGATTACTACTTTTAAAGACCCCTTCTTAAGTACATATTATCCGCCGAATTTATTTTTTTTTTTAAATTTGTATATTTTTCCTCATCCCTATCGATCAACGAGTGCCATGGAAATTATTTGAAAACAGTTACTGATAAGCGTATAGATGGAAAATGACAAAATCGTACATTTCATGGTTATTTTCAAATATCGATCAACTCTTAAAATCTGTTGTTTTTTTTTTGTTGTTTTTTTATGGGCTGATGTTCTTTCTGGAAGGTGTCATAAATAGGCATGCTAAAAAATGTTGTTAAATCCATATATTACACAATCAAAATAAGAATGGGTGCTATTTTTGATAAGCATTAGACTAGACCTAGTCTTTTCCCACAAGTAGTTATACTATGACATTCTCAATGACAACTACAATATACAAAAAAAAAAAAGTAAGAAATAATATAAAAAGAACAAAAAATTAACTACTTATTTTTTTCTTAGGGAGATTAATGTGTGAGGGAATGGGAAAAGTGTCCACTTACACAACGCAGTGAGTCATGATGTTATAACATGACAAGACAAAGGGTCGTGAGGACGTTGATTTCATTGAACTGAATCTGCTCCCTATTTCCCCGCCCTACTTTAGCATACTCACTCTTAAATTCTCTTTCTCTCGGTCACTATTTCTATTTCTCTCTCTCTCTTTCTCTCTCTCTCTCTCTCTCTCTCTCTCTCTCTTTCTCTCTCTCTCTCTTTCCCTCTCTCTCTCTTATCTCTATCTCCATTAAACACATATATAAACTATATAGCACATTACGTAATCAGGTGATAATACGTATTCGCTTTACAACAATATAAAAAAGGTTGAACTCTACATTGAATTTGTTGTTTTTTTACAAGTCTATTGTAACAATCAAAATTTGAGAATAACAAGTTTCTAACTGTATCTTTAACACATGAGATTATAAAATTTTCTACTATTTCAAATAACGTCTAGCCTATTACGAAACGACGGAAGCTGCTAAAAAAATCACTGTTTTGTAGCAAGCAGAGAATAACAATGGCGTAACTCGGAGCTGACCTTACTAGTTTTCCAGCAGAGGATAACATCAGCTGACGTTTAAACCATGACTGCACTTGTGGTAGGGGACAGCGCGCTGACCCTCGTGGGCGATGTCAACATGACGTCACCGGCTGATCCCGTGATCACACCGGATGTATTCATCGTGATAATGGAGGTGTACACCTGCGTTGATATGGTGCTGTCTTTGATCGGAATCATCACCAATGCCATCAGCACGATGGCATTCCTGGCCATGGGAGCGGACGACGGGATCACCGTGGCGTTTCTGTTTCTGTCGTCGTCTGAGTTCTTGTGCTGTTTGGCTGCGCTGGGTCAGAGGCTATCCCTGGCCTTTTGGGTCGCCGAATTGGCAACGGACTATACAACCTGGTTCTCTATTGATCCGTACGTCTTCAACGTGTACTTCGGAAATATCCGGACAGGTTTATTCACGATACCGGTCTTGATAACGATGTACATCGCGGTGGCTAAGTGCATGTGTGTCGTTAAGCCATTCGTGTTCAAAAACGTGTTCTTCGTCACCAGGACGTGGTGGGCAATGGTGGGAATTTGCGCCATCTCTATCGTCACGTACCTGCCTGTCATGGCCACCATGGGGGTCGTCGACCAGTTCGATCTCAAAGTCAACGCGACGCGTCAGCTCGTGTGGTTCTCGCGCTATCGCGACATAGTCCAGAACGTCGTCCGCATCGGACGAGACTCCGTCCCCGCGGTCTCGTCCGAGATCATCGTCATTTTTTGCGTCGCGCTGATGTCCAGGGCGTTGTCCGAGGCCGTCCGTTTCAGGGAGAGTTTCAAGCACGTGAGTCTCCAAAATACGCAAGAAAGTATTTTGACGCAGGTCTCGGCCAGAGGGTCGGCCAGGCTCAGCGGGAAAGAGCTGCAGGTCATCAAGCAGGTCACGCTCATCTCCGCGGTCTACGTCGTGTCCAACACGCCCAAGATCGTCCTGTTCCTGGCCATCGCGTTCGTGCCAGATCTGACCCAGGGGAGGCTGTACCAGAACTTGTACGAGGTCACGGTTAAGACGAAGGCCCACGCCGAGCTGTACATGTCGGTCGTGAACATCTTCATCTATTACAAGTACAACTCAAAGTTCAGGCAGAGCTGTAACCTTCTAGCTTCAAAAATGTTGGACAAATTTCAGGTTGTGCTGTAACCTTTTAGCGTTAAAAATGGTGGACAAAGTTCAGGTAGTGCTGTAAACTTTTAGCGTTAAAAATGGTGGACAAACTTCAGGTAGTGCTGTAAACTTTTAGCGTTAAAAATGGTGGACAAAGTTCAGGTAGTGCTGTAACCTTTTAGCGTTAAAAATGGTGTAAAAAGTTCAGGAAGTGCTATAACCTCTAGCGTGAAAAGTATAGGACAAAATTCAGGTAGTGCTGTGACCACTAGCGTGAAAAGTATTGGACAAAATTCAGGTAGTGCTGTAACCTCAATCGCAAAAAGTATTGGACAAAATTCAGGTTGTGCTGTAACCTTCTAGTGTTAAAAATGTTGAACAAAGTTCAGGTAGTACTGGACCTCTAGCGTTAAAATAATAATATCAAACCAGCCATGAAATGATTCCGTTTCACTTATAAAAATTACACGATTCCAATGGATTAGGTAGAAACCATCTGTCTATAAATATTCAGCAACAGACAACAAACCTTTAGAATTAATAATGAAGATTGGCGAAAATAAATTTTATTGCTAAAAGTGTGTGTGTGTGTGTGGGGGGGGGGGGGGGGGGGGGGAGGGGGGTGTCATTTCATGCAACTGTTGAAAAAACTATGAAAAGATTTTGAACTCTGTGTTAATTTATATATCGGTAATTAAAGTACTTACTAATTTTTGTTGTTTCAGATCATTATGTATTATACACAAGATCAAGAATATCATTGTGAAGTGGAAGTATCATCAACCATATCATTATACAACTAATTTTGTTATAGGTATAAATAAATACATTTTAAAAATAAATATATATATATGTGTGTGTGTGTATCTTTATATTAGTGAAGTGTCAAGACATGTATGTACCAAAGTTTTTATGGGATCCTTTAAGTAGCTCGCTTCTCTTGGGATACACTATCCGAAAATCCTCATATGTCAAATAAAACATTTGTACACTGAGCAAGCTGGAATGCTAATTTTAATGTACATGGTGACAGGTTTTGTACATAGTTGACAGTTCAGCTTGATGCTGTTTCTCTGGTTCTGATTCTGGTAGGGTACGTTGCTGAATCCATGCACTAGCATATGTGCAACGGGCAGCCTTGAAGCTCTCGATTGATGTCGAGTCCACGGCGGTATTGTCCAGGTGGTTCCGAGCGATTATTGTTCGTGGGAAGAATGATTGTTTTATTGGACTGTGCTATACCGAGGCAGAGTGAAGCATTTGCTATTGTTCCGGATGTAACTGCTTTAAGGGGTCTCAGAGGTTAAGTCAGTGATTAGTGAGCGTTGGGCTCGGAGCAAGCTACTTGGCTTCTGTGGGCATCTCTTAATGGAATGTTACTACTAGTAATGTATATAAAATGTGTATTATTAAAGAAGAGACAGCAGATCACAAAAAGAATGTGCATGTCTGGTTCTTCATTCCTATTTGATTTACAACGATTGGGATATATTTAAAAATGTTAATGGTTTATTTTTTGTGTGGTTAATTTATCATTGACAAAATGTGTAACGCACCAGCAACGAGAGAGGTGAGAGCCTGAAATATTCTCATTTCAATTATAACTATTTTACTTCATGTATTACGTAGCACATTAATTATTAGGAGAATGTTTCACTTTTCATAAAGAATGAAGTATTTTTTATTCTATCTTATGTTGATTGCTACAATATGTAAGTGGCTGTTGTTTTCTGTGTACCCCTTGATGTGGACGTCTTTTTGTTATAAAGAGTATTTTATTTGGGATATGTTAAGTAGAAAATGTTACATTTCTTCAGTTATCTAAAATAAAAGCTCTCGAGTTGGGTTTAGCCCACCGCTCTCAGGAAAGGTAATAAAGTTAAATCCCTTTTAAGTAGGTTTTTTTTTTCCACCGGCTTACCTCCCTCGAGAAAAGCTTTTCCATTTAAAAAAATGACATGATATTATTTCAATTTAAAAAAAAAAAGATATGTTGTTATTTCAATTAAAAAAAAATGATATGTTGTTATTTCAATTAAAAAAAAAATGATATGTTGTTATTTCAATTTAAAAAAAATGATATGTTGTTATTTCAATTTTTTAATTTTTTTTTTTTCAATTTACTATTAGCGATACCCTGGGAGGAGTGATTATCCACATGTCGCTCTATACATCCACCAATGCTTAGTGGAAAAACAACTAGTTGGCTCAGCACAGCACACAGTACAACACACAGCACGACATGCAGCACAGCACACAGCATGATACACAGCACGACACACAGCCAGACGCAGCACGGCACACAGCACGGCACACAGCACGGCACACAGCACGGCACACAGCACGGCACACAGCACGGCACACAGCACGGCACACAGCACGGCACACAGCATGGCACACAGCACGGCACACAGCACGGCACACAGCACGGCACACAGCGCGGCACACGGCGCTTTGGGTAACAAATCTGTTTTTTTTTTTTTTTT